CAATGAAGCAATTTAATTTCTCAAAAAGTTAAAGCTTGCTTTTGTAGCTTTCATCTGCTTCTCATTTCGCAATGACGAAATTTTGTAATGAGTTTTCATTCAACCACATAAAGATTCTGACTCAGCATACATACGAATGTGTGTCTACTGTTTTGATTCACGTAGGTAGACACAACAGGAAGGAATAAAATGGAAAAATTGAAACAATGGGGAGAGAATAAGGTAAAACTGAAAGAGAAAAAATATGCACAGATATTGTTGAGGTTTCTGTATTAGTAGGAATTTTTGTCAGATTTTTGTGGGTTTCGCTGGAGTTACTGATGAATTCGTGTTGAGAAATTTATTTGATTTTCAAGCTGTCATATGGTTATTTTGGTTTTAAAATTTACTCGCTTCCATAGACTTTCAAAACTGTTTTTGAGGCATTATTGATATTCATTGGGTAAACTCAATTTCTGTTCTGATTGCATCTTCTGCATTTTTATGAAAAGTATTCCTCAATACAACGAAATAGCTGAGTTGATTGAATTCAGCAAAATTATCTTAATTTTGCTGAATTCAGTAGAATCATTTTAATTTTGCTGAATTAGCAGAATGTGCTTAAATTTGCAGAATTTACTGAATTGGCTGCATTATCTGACTTAGCTGAATTAGCTGAATTTCACTGACTTATCTAAATTGTGCTGAATTCATGTATTGTGCTGAATTATCTGACTTAGCTGAATTGTGCTGAGTTCATTGATTTTTTCTGGATTGTGCTGAATTCATTGATTTATGCTGAATTATACTTAATTCGTTGAATTTTGCTAGATTAGTTGGATTGACTGAATTCTGCTGAAACGGCTGAAGTTGACTTGATTTTACTGAATTTGTTCTTTCCTTGTTTCTTTTTTGAATTTTGATCAACTATCATTCATAAATTTGAGAATTCCTTTCCAACTCTCTAGTTTCCTTTAAAAAAATAATTATTCGACATTACTACAACTTTTAAGTATCTCTTCAATACTTCTTACATTTCCTGTAGGCCAATACTGTAGCAATATTTCTCAGGTGACAAAAGACTACCTTCTTTTATGATTCTGGCTTTTTAACGTACCTTCATTTAAAAGTCGTTCTCGCCCTTTTCGTTCTTTTCACTTCACACAATAATAAAATGAAAGCTCATTCAAACATGACATTTTTATAGTTTTTAGCACTCTATAAAAAGTGAACGAAGGAATTTCTTTCTTTCTCTCCTTCATTCCTCCAATTTTCTGACAAGAGATGTCGAAAAGAATTTTTTCTTACACCCACTTGTGCCCTCCTTTCCGCTTTTTAAAATTTCTTCATCATTTGCTATCCATTCTCTTTCTCCTTGCTCTTGTTCTTCGTCATAGAAACGGAAGAACGATGATGTTGATGATGACTATAAGTCCAAACATTAGCTGCTTATCTTTCATCATTCTTTCATTCAAGTTTCCTTTTTGGTGATAATTCAAATATTTTCACTTTTTCTTTCTTTTGTTTTAAGAAAGAATTTCCGTCTTTCCTCCATCCTTGTTCCTCAATCGAGAGATATGAAAAGATAAAATTTTTTCACGCTGTTCTAATTTTCATTGAAATTCCATAAGACAATTTTTTCTTTCTTCTGGGTGGTGTGGGGTGTGAGGATCACTAAGTTTCAATTTCCTTAAATATTTTTTGCATACTTTCTTAACGACAATGACAATTATTATTGTTATGATGACATTGATGACTTAAAAGAATCTCTTTTTCCTCACTTTACATCATTCACGTTGACATGAATGAGAAGAAAGAAAAAAAAGTTAAGCTTTATGTTTAAAGCACTTTATTTCATTTAATATGCATGTACATGCATGCATGATGAAAGTTCATTTTTGAGTTCATTGTGAAATGGGAGGAAAAAGAAGATGAAATACATAATCTGAGAAACAGAAAACGAAGACATTAATTAAAATGTTAGTTCAATGGAAACAAAAAAAAAAGTTTCTTTCATGAAAATATTTAAACTTTTTTTTTTTTTTGATGAGATTTTATGACGTTTTGTTATTGTTCCATTTCTCTGTAAAGTGAACGAGAATGAAGTAGATTAAGTTTTGTCTCTTTGACTACTTGACAGCTGTGATGTCTGAATAGGAAATGGAATGTTTTTTTATTTCTGGAATATAGAGTCATTTTAATTTGAGACAAATAGTTTTAACAGATTGAAATTTAATTGAAAATCATTGGATAGAGCTTTTTTTGTAAAACCTGGAAATAACATTTGCTATCCACAAACCACTGACACTTTTGACAGCTTAATGTTATATTTTCTCTAGAGTATAGAATTAAAAACTCGAATCAGCATTAATTTAACTTATTGTGGATCAAATCATGAGCGTGTTAATCTGGAGAATGAAATGGTTGGTGCCTAAAATTGCATCTAGCTACAACTTCATGTGATGTTTTATTAAGAGTCGTTCATAAATGATCTTTGCCAAAAATGCTTGTTCGCCTTCTAAAACATGGTTATTTATGCTGTAGACTATAAAATAGCGCCAAACCAAAGGTGAGGAACTGATGAATTAGATTTTGATCATATTTGATCAGCTCCGCACCATTCTCCAAACTTGCTCTCTCAAAAATGTAAGACATTATTTCTAACCGACCCAATGCCTTTCCAAGGATGTATTTGAACTACCTACTACATGAAAGTACTGAAGTACATAAGCTTATTATCTGATGAACCAAATTCACTCTAAAAGCTCGTGAATTTTTTATTAAGGACACGGCTAAGCTCTTAGGAAGCTCACCTTGAAGTAGAGAATTTTTCAAAGAAATTACATTTCATGTGGCTTTCCTTTCAAGTCGGAATCAACAGGATTAATTGATACCAGGAATAAATAATGTGAACAGGACAAATCCAAGAGAATAGATTACTGCGGAGTTCTTAGAAAGTTTCATGTGACTCATGGGAAGAGCTTTCATGTTTTTGCATCTTGTTTTATAAATCAAACTTATAAGTTCTTCCTGACTAAAATGAGCAATTATTTACACGACTAAAATCAGTCACTTCACGTATCTACATTGTTGAGTTAGTTTTCCTTATTTTACAAAATTCAAATAATGAATCTTCATTATTTTCATTCCAAAAATGTTTTCATTTGTTTCTATCCACAAAATGCTACATACATGGAGGATATAATGACAAAATGTTTACTTCACATACAAATTATTTTGACTTCATAGCGAAATTAACTCGTGTTGTTTACAGAAGCATGTGCTGAGAAAATTTTATTTTTGTTATGATTTTATGAAAATATATGAGATATCTTATAGAAACTTTGTACTGGATTATATTTCCTTCATAAACTTTTTACTAATTTGCTGAGCACAAAATATTGCTTTTAATAAACATTCATTAAAACTTGCAAGTTTTGCTACGAACTTAAGGGAGAAGATTTCTTTTAAACTTCTTTCGAATATGACATTTATTTTGAGAATATCCAACTTTTGTAATAATTTATTAAAAATCCTGGATGAATTCATCTGCAAAAGGTTCAATCAATTGTGATGAAAAATTAATGAAAATTTGCTTTCCTCAAAATGCTAGAATAAAGTTCATTTGCCTTTAAAATCAAACGAAACCTGCATTCGTAAAGATCTTTTTAATGTCAAAGGTGTTATTCTTGTGCACAAAAATGTCTCTCAAAGGAACTGGAACCTTAATTTTCCTCTTTACATCTTTCTTAAATAATTTTTTAAAGCTTTAAAAAAAAGTTTAAAATTTCCTCTCATTTTCTTTTTTCTTTCTTCTATTTTGGTTTGTGCTGCAAACATTTCATTATTTCCTGCTCCCGTTGTTTTTCATTTCATGCTTCACGTTCCGGGACAACTCTGAGTCTACATATCTATTTACTTATTTTATGTTTTTCTTTACATTTTAAAAATATTAAATTGTGTGTTGGACTTTCATTTAGGTTTGTGGAGGTAAAGGCGCAGTTATTTTATGATGAGTGGATGTGTTAAAGCCAAAACAGCTGAATTCAGCTTAAATTGATGTTTGGTTAAACTTAAAATGGCTGAATTTAATTAAAATATGCCAAAAATGCTGAATTCAGCTCAAAATTGATGAAATATGTCAAAAAGTGCTGAATTTGAGATTTAAAGCGCTGAATTTGAGATTTAAAGCGCTGAATTTGAGATTTAAATTGCTGAATTTAAGGTTTAAACTACTGAACTTGAGCCTTAAACTGCTGAATTTAAGCTTTAAACGGCCAAATTTAATCTTTAAACTGCTGAAAATAAGTTTTAAACTGCTGAATTAAAGCTTTAAACTGCTGAACTTAACTTAATGATGCTGAATTTACATAAAAATTGATTATGTTTCATATTATACTCAAACTTTTACTCCAATTAAAGTTTGTATATATCCATTTTTTTTTGTTGGTAAAAATTTTAAAAGTCTCTCTTTGTTAAGACTGAATATTACCTTAACAACTTCATAACTATCCTGTTACCAAGCCAAGCAAAATTAATGGAAAGTACTTTTTCTGTGCAAAGATGCGTTCACAAAAGTTTACATAAAAATTTTCTCCTTTTTCAATTTTCATATTTCTTATTCTTTCAAGTATGTATACCTTCCACTGTAAATATTCATCCTCAGATGCTATGAGTAGCTTCTTTTTTGTTTAACTTTACTTACAAAATAGGAGAAAAATAATTTTTTTAAAAAAAAATAAATTCAGTAACTTTAAATATATTGCTCTTATGGATAAGAAAGAAAAGTGCTTAGTTTTCACTCTGTACCCAACATTGCTTCCTCATTCTCTTTACACTTATAGAAAATTGCAAAAAAAACTTTTTTTCCTCTTTCATTATTAAAATAGCATATTTACTTTATTCTTCTTTTTTTTTCTTTTCATTTCCATTTTTTTTACTTCAAACAACAATGATGACGACGACAACGATGATGATGATGGTGCTGAAAAATAAAAAAAAATATCAAACACATCCATTAGGTGCTGGCATTTGATAAAGATATCGGTGAAAATGGAAAAATCACATATTCTATAAAATCCGGAAAAGGAAAGGCAAAATTTAGAATTCATCCTGATAATGGTATCGTGTATGCAGCAAAAAGTTTAGATCAAGATTCGTACGATTTAGTGATTAAAGCTGAAGATAATGGAAATCCGAAAAAGGTCAAGACGACAGCTGTTCATGTGGAAATTGTTGACGCTCCAGATGATTCAATGCAGCCACCAAAAATTATATCAGCTGACCAGACTGTGGATGTTACAGAGAATGACCAACCTGGATATTTGGTTACATATTTTCAAGCAGAAGATGGTGATAATGATAGATTATGGTATGATATAATCGATGGCGATGACAATGACAATAATGAATTCTATATTGGCGAAAGTGGTAATGTGTTACTAGCAAAAAGATTGGATTGGGAAAGAAAGAAGGAATATAATTTAACGATATCTGTCACAGATGGTACTCATATTGTGAAAACTCATTTGTATGTTTCGGTGATAAACAGTAACGACCATCGACCACAATTTACTGAGAACGAATATCGTGTTGAAATATCTGAAAATACGGAAAAAGATTCAGAGATTTTGCAATTACATGCAACGGATGCTGATGATGATAAGAAGCTTTTCTACAGTCTTCATACGGCAAAAAATCCTACCTCACTCAGTTTATTTCGAGTGGATTCTGTTAGCGGTGTCATTACACTTACCCAAAAATTGGATCGAGAATTAATTGTCGAACATTTGCTCGTCGTTAGTGTTAAAGACCAAGGCACACCGGCAAAGAGAAATTTCGCCAAAGTCATTATACGTGTTCATGATTTCAATAATCACATACCCGAATTTACATCGAAATTGATAGAAGGAAAAGTCTATGAAACGGCAGCTGAAGGAACACAAGTAGTTCAAGTGTATGCTATAGATCGTGATGCAGGAGAAAATGCAAAAATAACCTATTCAATAGTAAGCGGAAATATTGGTAATGCTTTTCAAATCGATGAGAATATGGGGATTATAAGCGTCGTAAAAGAATTAGATATTAATGCACTGCCAGAGTATATGCTTCAAGTAAGAGCTTCTGACAATGGAAAACCGCCATTATCATCACAAATACCAGTGCATATAATGGTACAAATGGCAGATAATGCACCGCCGCGATTTACGTCTGATGCTCGTGAGAGAGCAACGGAAATATATGAGAACATTCCTATCGGATCATTTGTAAAGCACTTGGATGTTCGAAGTACATCATCAGTAATATTTGAAATAATCAATGGTAATTTGAATGATGTATTCTTCATTAATCCATCAACGGGCATAATAACGACAAAGGATGATGTAGATTATGAGCGTAATAACTTCTATAATTTAACTATTCGTGCAACAAATATGGCAGCAAAGGAAGCACATTGCAATATCATAATTCAAATTCTTGATGTAAACGACAATAATCCATTCTTCGAGAGTTCCATTTATCGTGGAGAAATATCAGAAGCAGCACCAATAGGATCCCTTGTAACGCTATTAACAAATGAAGAAACGAAAAATAATTCTTTACATTCAAAATATAATGAAACAGTTCCGCTCGTTATTAAAGCTCGAGACTTAGACTCAGGCCAAAATTCACTCCTTCATTATGACATTGTCGAATATTTGCCCCGCAAATATTTCCACATCGATTCATCATCGGGTGCCATTAAAAATATTTTCATATTGGATCACGAGAGAATTCCATTCTTTAGTTTTAATGTGAAAGTTAGTGATTTGGGAAAGCCACGATTATCTTCCATAACCACAGCTCGAGTGGAAATTAAAATCATTAATATAAATGACTGTGCTCCAACATTCCTACAGAAAGACTATAACGTAACTCTACTATTGCCAACATATGAAAATGTGGCAGTAATTCAAGTCAATGCGACGGATAAAGATGCACTCGATGATTCAATATTGCGATATGACATAATTGATGGAAATTTCGATTCTGTTTTTCGCATTAATTCAAAGGATGGCACAATTGTGACGACGAAAAATATAGATAAAATTAAATCATTTTATAAGCTTCATGTTCGTGTCTCGGATGGAAAATATTCAACCATTGCATATGTGTACATAAAAGTTGAAAATTCAGAAAATTCTGGTCTCGTCTTCCAAAAACCGATTTATGAGAGCTCGGTGACAGAAAATTCGACTAAAATACAAATTGTATGTGTCGTTAATGTACTTGGCACGGCACTTAATGAGCATATCGAGTTTAGAATACTTAATCCGACAGATATGTTCAAAATTGGCTTAACATCCGGAGCTATTGAAACGACTGGAAATCGTTTCGATCGCGAAGAAAAAGATAATTATGAGTTAATAATTGAAGCGAGATCACAAATGGGAATATTAAGTTCCGACAATCAAAATCCGCGTATTGCACATGGCATCGTGAATGTAACAATTTCAGATGAAAACGATAATTGCCCCATTTTCGTCAATCTACCATATTATGCTGTCGTATCTGTTGACGATCCAAAAGGTTCCGTAATCATTAAGGTTTTGGTAAGTACGACAGAGTTTTTTCATATTTACTTTTTTTTATTATGCTCTATTATAACTTTTTTTTATTGTGTAAACATGCCCTTGTTCCCTCTCCTCATTCGACATGCTTTTTTTTTGTCCTGAAACGAGAGGAAAAAAGGAAAATAATAAACGAAATTTTTTTTTGTGTACTTCGTCGTGTTCTTCTAATTTCCTTACATATTTTCTCATGTATTTACATTTTTATTACAAACACAATTAGGCTATTGATATGGATATAAATGAGAATGGTGAGGTTCGTTACGAGATGAAGAAGGGTCACGGAGAGCTGTTTAAAGTCGATCGGAAAACTGGCGAGGTGATCTTAAAGCAACCACTAGAAGGCCATAATAAGGATTATGAACTTATAATATCAGCATTTGATGGCGGTCTTATCCCATGCTCTACAGATGTTCTGGTGAACGTTAAGGTAAATATTTAATCAGAATAAATATATCTAGAGTATACATATAGACTATTATACCACAGCATAGAGACAGTCGACATTCGTTAGCTGAACAATATGAGTTAATAATATTTCAGGCGGTGTCAGTAGATTTTATGTGTTGGTGTCTGAAAATTATGGATTTCCAACATCATCCTAAAAATACATATCTTATTGGAAGTAGGAAGTATAATCAATAGCTTTATACTAAAAAGGTTGTCTAGGATTCAGAAAAATCTTCGACATTGTCCTGGAAAGTTAAAAAATTTAAAGCTTTATCTGAAAATAGTCAACCTTAGAAAAATGTCGGTCAAATTCCTTGTGACACAACCTGCACATACAATACATAATAAAAATAAAACTCCAGCACTACAACTGTCATTCATTCCATTTAAAGACAATATAAAGCAAGTGAATGAAAGGGAAGAGATAGAGTGAGTGAGATTACTTTTGCCTAAAGGATAAAGTGCTTCTTGTTGCCTTAAACACATTCACATATTTTTTTTTCATTCTTATTATGGCATTTTTCCTCTTCTACCTTTGTTCCCATCATTTCTATCGCACTCACTCCATCTCTGTTTTATTCATCGAAATCGTGTGTCATTTATTATTCGTGATAGTGTACTTTCATCCTCCATTTTATGGATTGTATTGATATGGATAGCGATATTTAGAAGTTGAAGAAAATAAATTTTATTATACATAGCGGTTGGTAAGTGGAGACAGAGAGTAAATAGACAATTTATTTCATGAAATAAAAACAGCTAGCAATGGATGAAGACTTAGCCTATGGCACATATTAATAATCCATGGATATTCTCAAGTATTTTATTTTATTGACGACTTTCTTCTTTCTTTCTATTTTCCTAGGTTGTGGATAAAAATATGCCACAATTTGACAAACAATTCTACTCGGATACAGTGCCCGAAAATATCGAATTACATTCACCGCTCTCGGTATCGATACAAGCGACTTCTCCCATGAGCCGTAAACTGATTTATAGTATTGTGAAAGGAAACGAGCTGGAAGAATTTGCTGTTGATTTTAATACAGGTATGTTGCAAGTATTCACTATGTTCTTCATTCATTTCTACATCCTCATACCTTATTTATTTATTTTTTTTTCTTTGTTGTTCATCCAAGAACAGCCATCGCCGATGGTTATAAGTTTCTTTGATTCAAGTTTTTTCTGCCATTATTACTGTTATGTATAAGCCATTGAAAATAAGAACATCTTTCTCGCTATTACCAGCGATTACTTTGGCATCTTCCGCCACCTTATTGTTCATTCAGCTAAAATGTAGATGCTATTCTTACCTCCCACATGATATACATCTACAGCCTCATTTCGATTTTACCATTCTTCTTCTCGTATATACTTTTACCGCTCTTATTCTGGTGATTTGTTACATTGATTTTTCCTCTTCTTAAAGCTTCACTGCTTGATTTTGACATGATGACGAACTCGATAGATTTTTTTTTTCCTTCTCTTACCATAATCCACTCATTTCAAGACGAAACAGTCGATGATAAGAGGAGATGTGAGAAACAAACCTCGTTCATCTCTTTTCTGCTGATATGTTGCTACCAATGTGCTTTTATGTCTAAAGATGAAATTGATGAAAAATTTATTTTTTCGCTTTATTTTCATTTGTACAATTTATTTAATGAAAAAGGTGCTTGTGCTCGTGCTTTGTCCTCCCACATAAGGTTCTTACTAAAGTTCATTAAGATCTGTTGCTAAATGAATGAACAAAGACATTTTGAAGATCACTTGATAATCCCTTCAAGCATAAAATGCAACATTAAATGTTCAAAAATGTGTATTGAGTACATTTTTATTTTTAAAAAAATCATACTCAATGTTTCTGGCAGAACAAAGTACCAAAAAATAATTTCAAACCCCTCCGATTCTTGTGTACTTACATGTGAGCTTCTCGTAAGCCATTTTCCAACATATAAGCTACAACAAAAATATTTTACTCGTTAAAAAATACTCTCATTAGATATTTATGATATTCAATTCCGTTTCTTAAGATTTCACAGTGATTTCCACTCACGAGAAGATAAAAACTCTTAAGCTTGACAATTTTAAATCTCATTTGGATTCATAAACGAAATGCGCTCCCGAAAATCATAATTTGAAACTAGCTCTTTGTTGGGAAGAAATAAAGAAAAAGGAGATGAATGAAATAAAGAACAAGTAGCATCTCTATTGAGGAAATTCCAATGCATATAAAATAAGGAATGTGATACAAAAGAGACGACGGAAAAAATTCACACAAAAAATAAGAAGCATGGAAAAAGGAGGGAAAAAAATTCGTCTTGAAATGATTTTATGTAAATGATAAGAAAAACAAAATTTGCGGGAATAGTTTGAGGAATTTAAAGCTTTAAAGCGCATTTGTGGATGTTAAGAAATTGATAATAACAGAAAGCTGAGATGTATAGAATCTTCAAACGAATTTCAAAAATTTTCTCAAAAAAACCTCATTTTTTTCGATGCATCATTTTAGGGGCCGTTCACTTATGACGTCCAAAGGGTAGGGGGGGGGGTTGCAAGAAAAGAACAATAGAAATTCCTGGAAATCCATTGCTAATTTTTGAGAAATGACCGTTAATCTCGGACGTCATAAGTGAACGATCCCTTATCGACTTTTTTTTCTTAGCATAATTTTCAAATTTTCAAAAACCGTTAACTTGATTTTGTAGGTAACGGTTCATAAAAATTTGAAAATTATGCTAAGAAAAATAAGGTTTCGAATTTTTGAAAGTCGGTTTTTTAATAGTGTAGTCAGCAGACTGGTGGGTGGAGAGTTTCCTCATTTTGAGAACTTTATATAAGTCTTTCTACTTTAAAATCTAATTTAAGTAAGTGAAAGCTGACTTAGAAGTCACAGAAATTTTAACAATTCTGTGAAACTTAAATTACCCTTAGCATTTTGATATTCTCTGAATTCCATTTCCATTGAGTCAAAATAAGCATCTTACAACACTTTGTTGCTTAAAATGCTCATCAAAAACAAGAGATTGAGATGAAAATATGCATATAAAATTTATTTTATTAAAGAAATGCGAGAAATGATTTGATTCCATAAGATAATCTGCATCAAATAGACAAATGAACCTTTTCCTCTTCACATGAGCTCATGATTATACTCAAGTAAACTGTATGTAACTGAGAAAGAGACAAATTTATTATATTAAATAGCAACAAAATAAGACGACAAGGGAAAAAGAAAGAGAAAGTTGATAAGAATGATGAGATAAAAAGTATGAAGAAAAAAAATTCAAATAAATTCAATAAGAAAATTGATTTCAAGAGCACTTTAGTTTCATAAATTGTGGATAATCATAATATTGCGATGTCATGGCTTTCTCGAAAAAAAGCCCACATTTTCTTCCCTACTCAGTAGGAGCGAGAACTATTAAAGTATTTCGTCACGGTACAGCAGAGAAAGCGGGCTGCTCGTTCAGCACAAAAGAAAAAAAAAGAGGAAAAGAAAGTTCTGTACAAGAATAAACAACACGACGACGACTTGAGGCATGAATTGCTCTTTCATAATAAATGAGGGAGAAAAATATTTAAAAATGCAAAACATGACGCGAAATTATTAATAAAACCAGCCATTTAGATATTTCATTTATTTTTATGAAAGGCAAGTCTTCTCACGCCCCCCATTTTTTTTCTCTATTCGTGTTCACTCGTCCCTCACACCACATTGCCACTAATGTCCAACATCAAAAACTCATTCAATTTTATAAGATGCTAAATTTGCTAAAAGCTGGCTAAAAAAATTATGCTAAACAATTTTTTTTTTCAACAAAACTCATTAAAAGAAGTGAAAAGGAGAGAAAAGAATGGGAAAGATAGCATAAAACTTTTCACTTCGTGCTCTTGAAAACTCCCTTTGCTTCTTGTTTACCACCTCCTTCTACTACTATACCCTTTCATGCCAATCCAACAATCTTTTGTAGGGAAAAGAAAAGTTTTTTTTCCTCAATGCTCGTGCTGCTGAAAATGAAAATAAAACTAGTAACAGGATCTTGTGGCTGAAAAAGGCGCAGTTTTTCTAAAGTTTGAATTAAATGGCATCCCTACTTCCAGGGGTTTCGTTCTTACACCAACTTAGTTCTTATCACTAAATTGATCAAGGGTACGGGGAACTGAAAAATTTGATTTTTTTTGTTTTCGATCATTTCAATCAGTTCCGAACCCATGAAAAACATACAAATTTTTAAGTAAGTTCTATCAGCAACATTTTATTAAATAATGATTTAAGAGCTCGGTCAATGGTGAGAATCGAACCTACACCCTCATAAAAGAGGGGATAGAGATATTCGATCTGTTGCCTAACCATTCAGGCACAAGGGTGTTGACCTTGTTTTGACAGAATCTCCTACATATGGCTCGATCTCGAAAGATTACATTTTATTCATCCGACTCTACATTGCCTAAGATAGTTCCTTGAGTTTTTTGGTCCGGCCTGTTTTCATGTTTAATTCTAGCCTAGCAGACACACTTTAAATCATAAAGTGCCTTTTAAAAGTATAAACTAAAAGATCGTTTAATCATCAAGGAATTAGACACAACAACAGCCAGACAAAATGCAAACCATAGTCTTTATCTTATCATTTTGAAAAAAATGCGCTTAAAAAATAAGTAAGAAGCAAGAAAAAAAAACAGAGGAAAATAGCGTACGGTACATTTGCTTTTAACTAAAACTACTTAAATGAACACTAATTTGCCCTGAGATTAAGAGCTGTTTCGTTTCATATTATAATATTACAAAATGCGTAACTGCATTCATAAAATTTTATTACTATGGGCAACTTTTCCTCTGGCTTTTCTTTTTTTTTCTTCTCCTTCCTTTCAATACACTATGGCTATAAATTTTTATTTATCCGCTTTTACTATATTTCACAAAGAGAATACATAAGAATACGAATGTATATATCAAGAAGATGAAAATAAAAGAGTTGGAAAGATTTAGTTTCATGTGCACAGAGTGGAATTTTCAAGATTATTGTAAACATTTTCATTGATAGGTTTATTGTTGTTTTTGATATCTATAATCTTAGGATCGTTTTGTAGTTTCCGAGAGGTCGATTTTTATTCTATCTTAAAATGCATTAAGAAGATGTTTTTATGGTCGAGCCATCACTTGACTTCCTCTTGACTTGTTTTTTGGCCTTAAAATTTCTCTTTAAAAATATTTTAAGTGAAATGAAAAAAATCGATCTTTGTTTAACTGAATCCATCCATTACAAGTGGTATTTAAAAGAATTCTATAGAAAAATCCAAGAGCTTCAGGGCATAATGGGTATATTATTTCGATATAACAATTGACTTGCTCTTCAGTTAAATATGAATTGAACCATTTTTTTTTATATAAAGAAGTACCATTTTGTAGAATGAAAGAAAGGGCCATCAGAATACTTAATGGCATATTCAATTATATTCAACGGTGAAATCGTTTGGTGGGAAAAAGAAGTACTTATGGAAATTTTTTATTCACTGCTGATGAATGTGAACTTCATTGTCTGGACTGAAAACTTCAATATTTGTACAGTTTGTGGATATGGCTCGAAGATCATATCTGTAGTAGATAGGCCTGAGCATAGGGCTCGCGTTGAACTGGTTATATGGGGTCGTTCATTTATGACGGCCAGGGGGGGGGGGGGGGGGGTCAGACAGAAAAGAACAATAGAAATTCCTGGAAATCTATTGTTTGTTTATGAAAAATGACCGTTAATTTCGGACGTCATAGTTGAACGGCCCCTATGTGTATGATGGATAGCCGAAATGAGATAAGTACCTCGGTTGCGCAGTGACAAGGATCTCTTATCGAGTGGTCAGAGATCGCCTCTTTTGAGGTCGTGGGTTTGATTCCCATCGAACCCGACTTGTTTTACATTAGTATACACATATTACAGTTATAAGGAGATCTACACAGTTGAAGATGAAAGTTTTGACAGACTCAAAGTAGATATCCCTGAGATTCGTTTTAATCAATTAATTATTTGAGATAAAATTCAAAGAACAATTTAAGTGAATTAAATTTTTTATTAACATTCAACATTAATCGAAAATACACAATTTTAAAAAAGTAAATAAAGATACTTCCAACTCTGCCTACTGACAGCTTTTAAAGATAAGCGATAAAGATTTAGAATGGGAAGAGAAAAATGAGCTGAATAATAAGAAGAAAACCAAAATAAAAAATTTTCTTCTTATATTGTTTGAAATTTATATTTCATCACATTCTCAGCTCGCAAATACACACATATGTTCATGATACATTATTATGTGATTATTTCTAACAACAACAATAATAATACTAATAATAATACGATTATCTCTTGTTATCTGAGAAACTATATAATACAGTTCTCTTGATATTTCCTCAAGAATAAAACCAGACGAAATAGGAAAATGCTATTAAATTTTATGAAGGAACGATGTTAAAGAAGAAAAGTGAAATTTTAAAGTTAAATGATTCAATAAATTCACTTAGAATGATTTCACATGCTGTTGCTGAGCAAGTGTATATATATGTCGATAAATCCATAGCATAATACTTTATAATAAAAATTCATATATGTATAGATACACATTATGAATGAGATAGAAGGATATACAAAGAAAGACAGAAGTATATATTATCAAGAATAAGGAATATAATAAGTAAGATAAAGTAATAAAAATCCTTCAATTCTCTAATACTATCTATTGTGCCATTGAGAGATATTTGAAGATTGTTTTTGTTGTTTTGAAATTGATTGATATTTGATTGTTTCTAGAGCATAGAGTACAAGAGGGAAAAATATTTTTTAACACTAAGCATAAGAGATAGACATTAAGTGAGTGAGAGAGTAACACTAGTGTGAAAAATCTATGATGTCGTTGATTAAGGAGCTTTTTTCAGCTTAAATCAGCTTTTCAAAATTATATGTTTTTCTAAAATTTAAAAACTAGTTTAATCCAATGTCAATCCAGCCTTTTTCACAGATCAAAAGACACATTTTCTATAAATTTCCTGTTATTGTGTATTATTATAAAGTGAATATAAAAGCAAAATATATATTCTCACAAAACCTGCCATCAAAAAGTTCATCTCTTAAAATGTAGGCGTGAATAAACATAGCATTACACAGTATAACGAAAGAAATATAATATTATTGGAATGAGAATTGTAACATTGGCAGTAACAACATATAAAAAAAATTGTCAGTTGATGTACGCAATATGGATAGAATAACATTTGGGATAACAAAAAAAAATAAATATACAACATTTTTTTTGAAAAGAAAATTGAATCATTCACGAGACGATGTTAATGTTATTGCACAAACAACTTATTAGGGCTGACCTCCGTGTTGCACGTAACTCGAGCCATTTCTGTTGATTGATGTACATTTCGGGTGGCAGTGGGGGTCTCTCGTCATCTATGAAATACACATATAACGTTTATTGATGGACTAAAACTAATGTATTCTTCTGTGACTGTTAAGATATACATATACGAGCGGAAAATATTATTATTATTATATGATTCATTGAGACTAAACGCAAAGGGTAGAAAATTGGATTATTTTTTAAGCACATATACATATCGTATGCATATCTATTGTTGTTATGACTTTAAATGCTTTTTAATTACTTTCTCGAAATATTATACAGAGAAAAGCTCTCATGCGAAAAAAAGGACTCGCTCCGTCAGGGGTCGTTCACTTATGACGTCCATCAAAAAACCTGATTTTTAGACCCCCTCCCCCCCTCTGTCACAAAAATTTTATAGAAAAAAATTTCCATTGTTTGAACTGTCACAAAATCCTAGACCCCCCTCCCCCCCTAAATGTCGGACGTCATAAGTGAACGGCCCCTCAGAGAATATTCATAAAAAAAAAATATTTTGCCTCATTTAAATACAAATAACAGAATTAATTTTCATAAATGTCCATAGAACAAATCCCTTTTTTTTCGCAAGCTCTGCTTTCGTTTGTATGAGTCGATAAATGCTCATAAGCTAACGAACAAACATAGAAACATTATCGTTTCCTTTCCGGAGCATTTATAGCCATCAATAAAAGTAAAAAAAAAATAAAATCTATTTAATAAATTTTTTACCATCATCTGTTGAACCCTTTTCGCTTTTTGGCTTCGATGGAAACATTGAAATAATTTCATCGGGTTGGCGCAATAAAATCTGCAGAGAATCAGAGAGAAAATAATGAAAAATTGAAAGTGATAAGGAACCATAAGCGTTGATAATTTTTCACTTAGGCATCGACCGCAAGCAAATAAAGTAGATGAAAAAAAAGTGAGTGAGCAAGCTTGCTTAAAAGAAGCAATAAGGTGGAAAACATTTTGACTTGATCACGCCTAATTCTCAATCCTTACCTTTCCGACCCCTTCTAACACTTTCAGAACTTCATGCCTTGATAATTTATCGCGATAAGTTTCCGGAAGTTCGTTACACGTTTTTGTTAGTATCCATGCAGCTATTCCATCGAAATCCTTCATCAAATTGATGGCTCCGCATATCGAGAATTTTATTCGACGCTCGTAAATGTGCTCGAGAAGTGCCTCACCAATTATTTTGAGTGCAAGATTAAGTATTTCTATGTCCTTCGTCGACTCAATTACTGGCTTGTAGATTATATCTAAATACACGTCTATATACTCATTATGTGTAGGCTTCAAATGATTGACGCGCCATATTTTAAGCGGAGGAAAATAAAGCTTTAATGTTGCCAGTGAAGTTTCATGGCATACATTAGCAAAAACATTATTAATGCACTCGTTTGTCGTTTTCTTGGCTTTATCTCTGTTAATTTTCACTTCCGACACGAGTTTCTCTCGCAGTGCTACATTCACCGAAATATGAATGTCGGTTGTGCTGGAAACCAGTGCTAAAGCAATAATGTTGTTCGAGGTATAGATTTTTTTTTTATATATTTGTACGTAGATTTGCGGAATGGGCGGTTTATAGTTTAAAAAGGAAAAAAAAAGAGTTTCAGGATATACATTATTCGTTTCATACATGTTTGTGTGGTGAACATAGTGGATAGATGATGATGATGAAAATTTATACACCGGAAAAAGAAAAGAAGTGAATTCAGAGTAGAAAGAAAAGAAGAAAAACTAAGGAAGAGAAGGAAGAAAATGGCTGGGAAAATCGTTTTCAATTTTCTAGCACAATTGGGGATTATTTCATCAATTATGTTGTCGACTCAATTGAATTGATTGCAACTCTTTAAAAAAAAATTCAAAAAAAAATTGCAACAAAATTTTTTTATGCATCGCTAAATTCGTAGCTTAATTGAACATAAATGGCAATAAATCGATCAAACCTTAACCCAATTTCTGTGCATCGACATAATTAGCAAATGAATCCCACTTGGCAAATAGATTTATGTGCAAAACTAGCATTAAGAGTGTGCAATTGTTCTTTACCCTCCCTTATCATTCCTCACAAAATAAAATAAAAATAAATTTTTTGTGTAGAAAACCACAAGGAACACATAAAATAGAATGAAAATATATTTTCTCTGTCTGACGACTTATCCTCTATTTGTATCTACCACAATCTACCCAGCTCTTAGTTTTTCCTTTCAATTTCTCATCTTACCTACCTGGCAATCGTAGGTCATTGAGTTGCTCTAAGCATAAATTCATGTCATTGTGCACAACTTTAAAAAATGTTTTCATGTTCCAATCGGAGCATAATTTTTTTGCTATTGTCGCTACGTATAAGCGCATTGTATGAATAGAATGATCGAGACGATGAATAACCTGAATTAAATAGAATAAGATGAAAAAGAGAAAAAAAAAATTGTGAACATGACAGTTAGTTGTAAATGAATATTTTCCTTGTCCCTTCTTCTCCATCTCCCTTTTCTCAACTGTTCATTCAGTGTTATCTATTCATCTCTAACTACTGGAACAAATTTCTTGCATTATTACTACTACTTCTCTTATCTGTATTAAGTTTTAGATGGAATTTTCTTTCTATCTTGAATATTATAACTTCTAAAGCTTAATAGCATGAACAAAACACTTATATTCACCATTGTCTAGGAGTGTAGCTAGGATGGACTCAATATAAGAGCTCAAAACCATTTCTAAAGTTACAATCAAAATGAATCTGTCTGCTACATCTCTGGATTCTGGCTATTGATAAAGACAGAAGGAAAATGAAGAAGCAGAGAAAAATGAACTCACTGGAATTTGTTCGGTTATTGGCAATTCGCTTGCTATTGTCCCAGCACGATCACATGAATTTGTTATGCTCACAAGGGATCGAAAAAGTTCAATCCAAAAGTATCCGCATGTTGTACCAGTATACTAAAAAATATATAAAAATGGGACAAAAAAAAATATTATTATCCACATGAAGAAAAAAAAGGAATTGTGGGAAATTTTTTCAGCGGTTAGCTTTGAGCGCATTTAAATGGATGAAAAATTTTAATTATTTTTGTGTGTTGGAGAAAGCAAATATTTCCTTTGTCATTGCTTTTGTTTATTTTATTGTTAAAGCTTTTACTACTGCAAACTTTTTTAAGTGGAATCATCCATGTGTGGCTGCATTTCATTGACTTTTCAAGGTTTTGTGTTGCTTCATGCAATGAAAGGATATTTCAACTGAATTCTTTGTTAAAAAGTTGGAGAATCTTCTTGATAATTGAGTGTGAACTATTTGCTTATGTCCTAAACTCAAGCATGTACTAGAATTAAGCTACAAAAAGCTAATTTTTTAAAAATAAAGTTTTCACGCCAAAAGTTGCTAAATCAAATAAAAAAACTTTTCAAAATGAAAATCCTCAACTATTCATCAGCAATTGTCAGCAATAGACTTGTGTCCAAAATAAATCTACACATAAAGCCAAACAAACAACAAAAATAATGCCAATTTTTCACCAAACTTAAGCTATAAAAGCGGAACAGAGAAAACTATTAAACAAAATGTGATGTGATGAGATGTGGAAGTTTTCTGGAACTAGGAAGTGGTCAAACATTCATATAAACCGAGTAGGAAAAAAAGAGAGTATAGAATGGTTGATGAAAAATTTATAATCCAAGCAATAATATAACAAAAAGATGAAAAAGTTACTGAAAGAGAACAAAAAGTTTTTTTTTCCTGTGCTGCTCGTTTTATCCACAAATAGCATAGCTGAGCAAAAAAGGATTAAAACTTAAAATCTGTAAACTGGGAACTGAATGCAGAATATAATGTTTTTTAAAAAATGAGAAATATAGCAAGACTCACTTTAACATCATGGCAGTAAAATTCGGAATTCCGCTCAAACTTTTGTTCAGGATGTAAATTTGCCAGAATAAGACATCTCCTAAATTGCTTGTCCCATAAGCATCCGACAACATGTATGGTAAGAATCTCACCGAGACTTTTCAAGGTTGTTTGTATGGGCTCAGGTGCCTCAGCATGTGCCAATAACCATTCTCGTAAATGTTTTGCACATCCAATGGAGCGACATGCTAATGGCAATGTATGATTCCACCATAATACAAAATTCTCGAGCGTGCCTGTTATATGTGTCCATAAGAATCGTGATGACTTTTCTATCAGCTTCATAACTTCATGTTTTGTTATATCTCCTTCAAAGGCACTCGGACAAAACTTTAGGCACTTGACGATTATGTGAGCTATAAAAATTTCTTCTGCACGAATTAATTCAATCAACAATTCACCATCCTCTCCATCTATAATGTTCTTTTCATCCACATGTGTCTCCATATCATTTATGTTTCCATTGACATTTTTCCCATTTCCTCCCGTCAGATTGTCAAAAAAATCTATTGCCGGATCATCATTCGTCGATGCCGGCATAGTGGCAGGCTTTTGTGCAATTGAACATAATCTTATTTCCCTTTCTGCTTTCTCTTGCTGATGCCTTTTTTGCTGTTGATGCAACATTTGTAGTTGTTGCTGTTGCATATTGAATTCTTCCAGTTGACTCAACTCCTTTGTTAGTGCATGAAAAACTAATAAACTTGATGTATCTGATTCATCATCATCGTATTGTAAGTCGGCACGGCTATTTGCTAACAGACATGATATCAATTTGCTACAACAACTTTCTGTGCGATATTTCGTAACCAATTGTAAAATACTCGAAACATCCATACGCTTTGGATTTGATAGTATCGCAGTGTATGTATTTGATATGATCATAGATCCACTTGAACTTTTCATATGCTGATTTGTCAGTATAATTATGTTATTGTATAGTGAACACAGATGAAATGCAGCCTCAAATATTCCATTAAAGAGTAATCTCTTGATTGTTTTCGAGATGATATAAAGTAATTGAAAATGACGTCGCCTCAAGTTCGTTCGAATCAGCATTGATTTACGTTTCAGTAACCCTTTATAGGATGATCTCTCAACATTTTTATCTGATGATGACGATCCAATGCGATACAACTTGTATTGACTCATACAACTGTCTTGGAAGTAAATGTTGCCCTTCTCCAAAAGAGTCTGAAATGCCTGCAAGGAATGAACTCATTAGCACAGAGTTTATTCTATAGATCCTTTTTTTCTACTCCTTCTTTATACATTCATTTATTTGCCCACCCATTGGGCTTACACTTTCACATATTTCAGTTCTCTTCTTCATATTTTCTTATACTTTTTGTTTGTCTGCTGTTGTTACTACCTCTGCTAAATATTTTAGTTCCCCCCCTCCTTTTATCCCCTCTTTTTAGTCGACATTCTTTTCTTACTTTATGATAAGGTTTCTACACTGATTAATAAAAAAAAAACAAGAATTTAAGGGCGATAATCCACAGAAAGCTATAATATTTCATGATATACTAGTCAAATGGAAATTATCTCACAAAATTTAATCATGAAAATAATTTCCTTTTGAGCCCATCGTCAAATTAATGATTATGAAGTGAAAAAGCCTTGCCTTTATTTTCTTGGTCTTCCCTTGAAGGAAAAGTTTATTGTTTCTGGCAGGTATCATGATTTTTTTTAGGAGGGTCAGTTTGATTAACTTGATGAACAATTCTCAGAATTTGTTGTAGAATGTAATCATTGATGTCAAAGCTCTTGGGTAGCTTCTGACCAAGAATTTAAAGAAAAATTTTAAGTGCTTGTAGATTCTCTCAATGTGATAATTGAATTTAAGTCTTGGTAATGGAATTTTTTGGGGATTGTTCACTAATGATGGGATTAAAGGAAGTAAGTTTACCAAATATGTGTGATTGTTTAGAATATATTAACGGTTGCTTTAAATTCAAATTATGCATACAAGAACTCCTTGTGTAGTTGTAATATTCAGTCGGTTTTTGATCACTGAAGAATAAACATCGTTGTTATTAACTTTAAGGGGCCGTCCACTTATTACGTTACGCAAAAAAAACGACATTTTTCACACACCCCCCCCCCCCCCTCTTGTTACAATATTTTACGACTCACCCCCCCCCCCCCCTGAACGTTCATAATTTATTTTATTTTGATAAAAATTTAAAAAAATGTTTTCGGTGTGAATTTGTAAACAAATTTTTTTCGTGAACTTTTTTGTAAGTCAGATGACAGTTAGAACGTTACATACTTCTTGATGCCCCCCCCCCCTATGTTACATTTTGTTACAAACCCCCCTCCCCTAAGTAATAAGTGAACGGCCCCTTATCAAACCAAAAGGAAAGCTTTTATGATAGACATAACAAATAGTTTTGTGGGGATCTCAAGCTTGACTTTAGTTTGAATTTGTGTCAACAAAAATTTAAGTTTATTGAAGGACATAATTTCTGAATGTTCCCACTATAAAGTAATTCTGAAATTTTTTATCACAAGAGCGATTCTTCTTTCCTTATTCCTTTTTATATCCACATTTTCTATTATCTATAACAGCATAAAGAAGAAGTGAACGAACTAGCTAACTATCATCAGAAACGTCAATGTAAAAAGATTCATGTACGTGTAGTTATTTCATTTCCAAAATAAACGAGTTTTGAAGAGCAAAAGAAGAAGGAAAAACAAAAAATTATGTATGTACAACTATATATGTACATAATGTGATGAGGTAGAAAGTGAATGTGTTAGTTGCGATGGTTAAAAGGAGTTAAAAGAAAAACTTTTTTTCTGTGCCTTTTTCGCTTAGCATGCATGTCCTTTACATTGACGTTTATGAGTGTAAAAAGGTTACTTTTATACACTCTTGTTTTCCCTTTTCCTTACATTTAAATGGGAGGGTGTTGCCATAAGATGAAGGACATAAGAAGAAACAGAAGTGTAAGTAAGGAAATGATGAAGAAAAAGGCCAAAGGAATTATACGAACTAATTAAAAAAAAAAGAGAAAATGGATGATGAAGTATGTTGGGAGCAGGTAGAGAATTTTCGAATAGAAGAAATGGAAAATTAAGGAAAATGAAAAATTGAAGCTTTAATTGATGGCTTAATGCCCATAATTTAATGAGGTTTCTTCATTGCATAACATCATGCTTATTGCAATCTAGTAATTAATAAAAACAAATTCAAGAGGCTTTAAGATTTTCGAATGAAATTTCAACCATTTTTATGTATGCAGCATTTTATCGGCTTCCTCAAAACCAAAAAAGCACTAAAAACTATTTAAAAAACAGTAAAATCATAACTTAATTATCCCACGTCAGTGATTTTTCTCTAATTTTGAATTCCGTACCCCACCCTAAAGTTTTAATTGAATTAATTAAAGATAACACGACAAAAAAGCTATTCATATGAGAGAAAAAAATGGCAAAATGTTGCAGAGACATAGAGAATGTTTGCAAAAAAGATAATTAAATGAGAAAGAAATCTTTGTTGATGATCAAATGGAAAAAGTATAACTGTACATACTCCATAGAATAGTTTTTACTAACCCAAATATAATATTATTATGCTTATGATTTCAAAATTGATAAGACAAATATGAAAATTAAAGTTGGAAAGTTTATAAAGTCATTAAAGGGTAAAAAACTTTGAAAACTTGTGGAAAACTTTTAAAAAAAGAGAAAGTTTCGAAAATCTAATTTTTTAAAATAAATTTCACTTTTGTGCGACATTAATTTAAAATTAATTAAACCCCTAATAATCAATTGAAATAAATTCCGAACCCTTTTGACCAAACCTTGACATTTATATCCAATTTTTTGATGTTATTGCGTGGAAATCATAAATATTGCCTACATATAAACAATAAGCATGAAATTTATTACGACTGTTTTAATAAACCCAAATGCTAATTACATTAAAATTTATGCCAAAAACATTCGAAGGATGTTTTAAAAATTAATTAAGAATATTTCGTAATTTTTCGATTATTTGTAAACAAGGTTTCCCACACATATTTTAAAAATTAGTCATAAAATTTGATGGAACCGCAATTATAAAATTTGAAAAGCAGGCAATCACTCCCACCATTTAGATAATAATGTTCATACTTTATGCACTTGAATTTAAAGGAGTTTTGTTGTAGGCTATGCTAATTTTTGAAGATAAGAGACTTTGAATGCTTAAACACTTGTTAAGCATCCATTAAGGCGTTTACATTTAATCTTTTGAGATTTTTAAGACAGTTTAAGAACAATCCTTTAAATCTCTGAGTCAACTATTATTCTTAACATCTCCTTGGCAATTGCACGGAAAGGATTATTCCAGAGCTCGAAGTCAAAATCAATGAAAATCTCGAGTCGACTTCGAGCTCTAGATTATCTAATTAGACACAGATTTATATCGCAAAGCAAAATTTAAGAAGCACTGTTCTAAGGTTTAATGTCGTGACTATTGTCCTAGCGATCAGTCTGTGCTAGGAATCGAACCCACATCCTCTCATAAGAGAACTACAGACTTCCAGTCTGATGCCTAACCACTCGACCATACAAACCATACTCTTGCATTGGCAGAATCGTCTATACGTGCCTATAACCCCCAGACTCTACTATGCTCAGACACCACATACAGTCACGGATTTTCGGAACTTAAATTTATATTGAATTTTTTAGACGCTCCCTAGAGGCATTAAGTCTACAAACTTTACATTCTATAATTTATTCCTGTTCATTTGCACCTAGTCTTTCCAATTTTTCACATCATTTCGTTTAGTAGAAACGTTATCATCTTAGAAATACAGGCAGCAACCAAGACAATTGTTGTTATAACTACAGACAGACCATCAGACAAGAAAACAACTTCTAAAATGAGAAAGATAAAATTTCTCATGGGAAATTGAGCAAAACGAGGAGGAAAAGATGAAGAAGCATTAAAATTGTTTAACGCTATGATAGCTTAAGCATATTACTTACATAATAATCAAGAAGATTGAAATTAATATTTGTTGTAAATTTGTTTCCGAGCATCTTAAGCTCACGTTCGATATTCCTCGTCTCTTTAAATACTTTGTCATTTGTCTGCTGTTGGGATACTTTCGGAAACCACTTGCTTATATTGGAACTCATTTTTATTCTACCACCGGATTCGACCTTTACCTTTACCTCCATGTACATACAAGCAATTTCTTCTCTACCAAAATATTATTTATTTCCTTCAATAACCACCGACTCTCGTTCACTCACTTTATGTTCCTCTTTCTACTTATTTTATTTATTTTTTATTTTCCTCCTGCCTGTAAGCTGATGGAAAATTTGTTTTTTTTTTCGACTTGAAATAAACTTCAACGACGATGTTTTATGTGAAAGAAAAGTGTGAACTTTTCCTTCTAAATGTTAAGTAACTGACTTTATTCACTGTAAAAGCTCTCCTTTTTGTCAGGAAGCTGTTGGAGGAAGAGTAGAACTTTTTTTTCCTTCTTTTTCTCGCTTTTTGGCTTTACTTATAAAATATACACTACGGATGTTTCACGAAACTCTGCCTGAATGCGAATGGATATTGAAAGTGAAGCACACCGAAAAAAAAAATTGCTTCTTCACTTCTTCTTCTTGACTTTTTGTATAATTTTTAATGGCAAAAATAAAGCTTCGAGAAAGGAATTTCCTCGGTGTTATTTGTGTGTTGGGAAAGTATGAGAAAATAATAATAAGATGTATATGCGAAAAAGAACAAAATTATGACGAAATACTTCTTGGTTCCTTGCCGTTGCCCGAATGAAAAATTGTAAAAGACGATGAGGCGATAGAAAAGAAAGTGAAAGTGAAATATCGAAAAAACTTTTGCACAAAAGGTTGAATGAAAAAAATACAAAAATAATGATTGCCATGGAAATTGGTGTTGTCGACATAAAGGAGGAGTAAATGCGGAACAAGGTCGAATAGAATATTTGTAGAAAGAAGGGAAGAATCACGACAGGGATAGGACAAAGATTTAGGAGGCAATACTCATCAGAACTTTATTCCTAATTATGCCAGCCTACATATGGTAGTTGAAGTTGAAGTGCTTTCCAGCACACTAGTTCGTAGGAAACCAGGTAGCCAAATATCAGATGAGTAGATTAAAAACACCACAATTAGAAAATGTACGAAAATTTCCTCAAAACCTAATATTTATTACTTACTGCAGGGGCGTAATCACATATTTGAAGAGGGGGGGGGGGGCAAAAAACTTTTTTGTATGGAAAAATTTAAGGGGGGGGGGGGGTGGTATTTTTGTGATTTTTTTTAAAAAAACCCTAGCAAAATAAAGAAATTTCTGTTTACGTTGGGGAATTTGTCTCCCAAATCTCCCAAATACCCCCCCCCCCCACTGGCTACGCGCCTGGCTTACTTCATTAATTTTAAGAAGAATAAAGTCTATAACTAGCTTAATCCCTCTTCCTTAAACTAAGGCAACCTATACAAATATTAAATTTTCTTACATCTTTTAAATAAAATTGCTCATAAATTAATTTTTTAAAAACTTACAAAAATACTCGAGTCACTATCGAAAAACACACATTCAGCAATCCCATTTGCAAGCTTTCCCATATAGATATAAAAATGAAATTGTGGAGGTGGTTTTTCCTGTGTAAATATTGAAATTAAATAAAAACGAACACAAAAAAAATTTTCTCTGACATTCAATTCGATTTTTCCTCATCAAGGTGATTGTTTAATTCCCACGAGGAAGAACAACATGAAGGAAATGAAAGTTATAGTTAGAAGAGGAAAAATCCTGACCTATATTAATTCCAAAGGATTAAGAACGGATTTCACGTGTTGGTTCTCTCATTTCATATTTACATTCTTCATCCACTAATACTACAATGACTTACTTTCTCTCATCAACTCGACACGAAAAAAAAATCTTCTTCCTCTCTTAGGGGCCGTTCACTTATGACGTCCGACATTTAGGGGGGTGGGGGTGGGGGGTCCAGGATTTTGAGACAGTTCAAACAATGGAAATTTTTTTCTATAGAATTTTTGTGACAGAGGGGGGGAGGGGGGTCTAAAAATCATGTTTTTTGATGGACGTCATAAGTGAACGACCCCTTAGGTAGTCTCTAGAAGTCAAAAAGCCATATCGTATAGCAAATAATGATTTGTCGTATAACAAATTGCCATTTTGTCGTCGTTTTCACATTTTTTTTTTCTTCTCTACTTCTCCTTCCTTTTCTCTATGGCATGAGTGAATGGGATTTAAACTGTCAGTGATTCGTAGCAATATCAAAATTAGTGTGCGGTAGCGTAAAATGATGGGATCAAGTGGAATCAAGTCTAGCGAAAGAGATGACAAAAATGGCTGTATGAGAGGAGGGAAATGGAGAAAATGAGAACAAGAAGTTGAATAATAAAATGAAAATTATGCGGCAAATATTTTTTTCAATCCGTAATAAATTTAACGAAAATTTTTACTTTCCTCTTTTTACACCATCAACATATTTAAAAATAGGTTCATTTGTCTATTGGAATGAAAACGGAATGAAAAGGGAACTGTTGCCACTTCCTCAACTCTATCGGTACCGAAAAGGCAATAAATCTTGATGCGTAAATGTGTATGTGCTTTTAGTGGTTTGGAAAAATATATAAAAAAAAATTTATTTTCATCGGCATCATCGTTGCGTTGAGAGGTCAAAGAGCGTCGATAATAAATTTAATGCGATTTAATTTTCCAATTCATAAAGCTAGCGCTCACCCCAATTGCCATAATTTACACACTGTAATTCTATTGGTTACATAAATGCTCTTGCTGTTGCTGATGCTTCTTTTTTTGCGTTGTTCAACAATTTGCGACGCTTGTGATGGACTTCGTTTTTTCTTTCATTCATCTTTTTACCTTCTGATTTGCATGGGACATTGCGAAAATTGTTGAAGATTTACCTTAAGTTTCTTCATAGACTTCATTGGGTTTTTCGGAGAATCTATGAGAAATGCCTGTGATTTTCACCAACAGAATCTATTTGATCTAAAAATGAAGGAATTCCTTTAGGTCGTAAAATGTCCAAGGTCAAATGATGAAGGTATGGAAACTTTTTGGGTGTGCTGATAGATTTTTCATAGACATGTCTACTACTAATGCTTCATTGGCTTGGTTGCACGTGGCTCTTTCCACTAAAATAGCTCTTTCGTTTGAGATATTCTGCCAGTTCAGGATATTATGAACTCTAGCGTCCTTATCAACACATCCAATCCAGGTGTTCATTTGGAAGTGTTTAGATGTACTCATTATCAGGTATGAATGTGTATAGACTTTATATTCCACGAAATCTCGAAGCTAGGTATGAATTACTTCTTTGGTCTTGCAGTTTATTGTCTGCAAAGTGATGCTGTGGCTTAGTTTCTAGGACATACCTGCTTTTACTTTAGATTCAATTCTCAGGATTTAGTGTATAGGCTTGTTAACTTAAATAGCTAGAGAAGCTATAGAGCCACATCAGCGCACAACAGTTTAAGTTAATAGTGCGAGCTATGAGATCCGAACTTAAAGTACTTAAACTATTCAGCGTCACAATTTCCAACAACAGGGTCAGCTCAAAAAATAACAACCAGACAATCAGGCTCCTATTGGCACACATCAAATTCATAAAACCCCCAAAAATAATCACTTACCAATCTGTCGAAATTCTCACAATGGAGACTAAAGGAAGAAGAATCTTAATTTCGCATTCTCAATGAAATGAAGTTTATTTTGTAAATACCAGTTAGGCACAAAGCACCTGCCGGCACAAGCATATTCTGTAACAAAAAGCTGTATTCATTTTTTTTTTATTTGGGTTAAAAATGAAGAAATTTCTCTGCTGTCATCCCTTCTTTGTCTGTTATCTCCTTTCGGTACAAATCTTTCGTCCAATTTTTTTTTTCATCATCTTGGTTTGTTCATTTTGTTTCTTGTTCTCACAAAAAAAGGGAAAAAAGAAGAAGAAAATAAAAATTTCAACTGGCCCCAAGGCTTCGTTTATATCTGAATCTTTTTTTTTTCGACTATATTGAAAATTCATTTTATTATTATGCTTCTTTGTGTCCCATAAATTCATAAATGAAGCAAAAAATTTATTTTTCCTTATTTCTTTTTTTTTTCATTGACTCATTTTATTCACAATATATTACTTGCAATCCCCAAATATTCATGATGTAAAAACCAATTTTTTTTCTGTATTTTGTGTATGTTTTCAGCTTTACATACCAATACTCAATGTAAGTACTGTGATGATGCAAACCAAAAAATGTCCATAGACTATATATTGAATGTATGTGATTGCACACATTGCTCTGCTGTGGGTAGAGATTCCAAATGTTACTCCATCGATATTTATTTAATTTTATTTTAGAATGTTTTATTGTTGCTTATATTTCAGGGGTGGATATTTCGAGTATAACAGGGATATAAACTTAAGTCGTGGTCTTCCTTTTAGTGTATCTTTAAGGATGTATCTCGGAAAAATTTCAGATCCGTTCTGACAATATTTCATTCTAAGGTTATCTTGGAGCTCTAGTTACTATTTCTCTCGCTATACTTCAAGTTCCTTATCCGTTCCTTAATCAAACGTTGCCCAAATGCCCAGTTATGACTTGATTTCATGCATTAAGCAGTCGAAGTATCTACACTTCTGAAAAAGAACAAATTTGGAAAGGGCTGGATTCGAACCGACGACCTTTAAGTTACCATACCAAATTTTAGCCAAGCGCCTTACCTATTCGACCAACAAGTCACTTAACTGCTTAACATTAGTTGACTAGGTTTAATAATATGTATTAAATGTCAAAGTAAATAGTAAAGTCCTGGCATACTTATCAAACCTTTACGACACACTAGTTGAATCGTGTCAAAGACTAATAATCACTGTCTAAGATACACAATATTAGAAACATCCTCTTGTTATACTCGAAAAACCCACCCCAAGTCATTGTTGTGAATCAACGAAGGTAGATATTTTAAATTCGACAGAAGACAGCTTATGTCCCTCATAAATATGCATGCTTTGAAAATTTTCAATACATTCTTTATCAATGAACTGAAATGGAATTTATTTTGTATTTTGGTATCTTCAGCATGGTCAGTCGTAAAATTGACAAACTGTGACAAACAATAAGAGAACACAAAGCTAAAATTTTCAATGAAATAAGAAATTCTCGGAAATTCCAATTAGAAATGTTTAGTAATGCATGTGCTGCATAACTGCAATTTGGATTTGAAATTTTGTTGAATAAAAAAAAAACTATTAAAACTTTTTTAATGGCTATGAAAATGTTCAATCTACATTTGCTTAATTTTAAGAATAGACAAATTGAGTCAAAACTTTTCCAAAGTTAATTTTTGAAATAAGCTTTTTTGATAAATTAGCTTTTGTGGCAAGCTGTGAGTGGGCGTAGAAATGAAATGATGAGCATTCGCTGTAATGCTCTTTGAGAAGTTAAATTTAATATGAAAAATTGAGGAAAACTTTTGAACACTTGGGGGTGTTTTAGACGAATTTGGATAATTTCTCAGATCTAGTCACAACTTCATTTTTATGACATTTAGTTCCAATGCTAAGAAAAAAATTCAATTTCCACAACAAAATTGCAAATCGACAACAAACTTCAAACATTTAACATGCATGCCTTTGCATAGCATTTCTAATAAATTATTCAGAATCGTTCTATGCTCACAGCATTCATAATTCACAAGCATGTATGGAAAAAAAAGTCTACCTTTTATTGAAGTTTCATGAATTTATTTAAAAACTTCATCAAAAAAAAAAGTCATAAAATATTCGCGATCATTTGGAATCTCTATTTCCTTTATGGGGTTGAATGGTGAGCAGAGTGAGATCAAATATTGGAAAAGAGCACGAATATGTATGTATGTGATGAAAAAAATCATTTTATGATGTGCATATAATGCGATTTTCAGTGTTTGATATTGTACACACATAGAGTGTATTTTTATTGCATTTTTATGATTCATGCTTGCATTGTTGCTGTTTAATAATATTCCTGTGTGTACACTTTATATAAATTCCATTGGTGTATATAAAAATCTATGTGTCTTTTCTGTTTTTTTGTTGGTATATATGTTTTATTTTTGTGTCTCTTTCCGCAAATTTCATATTTCATATATTTTTTATTATTTATGATTTATTGTTTGTGACTCACCCAGAAATATAATTTTATTTAATACATTTTCTTCCTTTTGCCTCACCAAATTTCATTTTTATTGTTTCTCACTGAATGTCATGGGTTGTTTGTCATTTAGAAAGCTGCTTTACACATTACACAATTTTTATGAGAATAATTTTATACATAAATTGCGCACATATAAGCTTTATAGACACTCTCAATGAAGGAGAAGAGGAGAGAAAAAAATAAGAAAAATCGTGCCTGTAATATCTCTTCTATCCTTTGCACTGCATGACAGGGTTGGCGATCGTTTGATTGACTTTCAGGGTGTTGATACATGAAATTCAATCTTGAGGAAGAAGAATCTAAATTAAGTATAAAGGAACTCTATGTCAGTGGTTCTCAAAAGTTGGCTTCCACTCCTGAAGTTTATCGACTTCCTGAATATTAAAAATCACAATTCAACCCCAATAGCACAAGTCGATTAATCAATTTGAAATCCGGTATCTTGTCAGCATGACTTTAGCATGATGCTGGACTCAAATCGACTCTTGCACCATGCAAGAGTTACGCAAGCTGGGAACGGATTTATATTTCATTAACGAACTTGTGCTATTCGGCTAATGCTCTCACATTAAACACTTAAATTCAAATCAATTCCACCAACCCTGCTGTCAATAATAACGAGAGGCTGCGATGAGATTTTCATAAAGTAAGAGAGACTTTTCTTCAACCACCTTCGTCATCATCTCGCATGAATTTTTCACATTTTACGCTCAACAAAATTCCTTTTCTTTTTTTATTCATTTTTGATTTTAGGCGTTGGTAATAAGAAGAATAAGAATTTAACAAGTATAAAATCCGTGAAGGAAAAAGTTGAGTAGAATGAAGCAAAAGGAAATTTATTTTATGAGTGATGAGTGTGTGCGTATGTATGATATAGAGCGTTCTATAAAGAGCACATTTTTTATATATTATATTACGAGAAGAAAAAGGTTCTTCATCCCCAATAAGTTCGGGTCGTATGCAAATTTGGTTAACATCAATCTTTAATGATAAAAATTTTTATGGAAAAATCTTTTGATGATTTTTTTTGTTCTTTTCTTATTTTCAAAAGGAAAAATTCACATTTTTGAATTTCGTGTAACTTTTCTTTTTCAACAATAGACATACAGCCTTCATCATTATAGCATTACCACCTGTACCATTATACATCCTTACCTTTCTTTACTCAATCTTGTCACTGTGATATGAAATAAAATAAAGTGAAATGGTGGGAAAAATGAGGAATGGGAATTTATTCTTAACGTTATAACCATTCTTAAATTTAATTGAGTGAATGTAACGCATTTTGTTTTGATTGAACCTTGATTTTTGCTTTTCTACGGGAACATACGGATGCTTTCTCATATGAAATCGTAAATTTCGAACAGTCGTAAAGAATTCTTGTGATGATGAAATATTTTCTAAACTATAGAAGAAGAGTTGGAGTATGACAAGCTTTTTGAAGCCTTTATTTTGTGAGTCAACTTCTGACTATGCAGCTAAAGACACTTAAAGGTCTAAAACTTCAAAATGTATGTTAACTGTACTTGATAGTTCTTAAGAGTTCGGTTCTCTGGTGGGAGTCGAACTAATGTTCTTATAAAAGAAGGTTTCAGCTATCCAGTCTAAACTTTTCGGCTATAGATGCCTTACTCTCACACTCGCAGAATCGGCTATATATGGCTCAAACCCTTAGAACCTACTCTGTTCCGAGACCATACTTACTAATTGTGAAGCTACCACATAAATTGGCTACCAAATTAAAATTAATATAAAGTTTGCTTATAAACCACTTGCAGTATGTGAAATGCATTAATTTGAAGTACATTTGATGTTTGATTTTGAAATTATGAAGCCATTAAATCTATCCAATTTGCTCTAGTTAATGATATTTGTGTAAGGATTAACTTTGATTGATGTTTGCTATTCTATTAAATTTTAAAATCAAATCACAATTAAGTTTCATGTTGCCCTGTTCCAAACCAAATCCTCAACAGATGCATGAGCGACCACACCCTGTGTCTCAATACATAACTTTGGGATTTTACGAGCAAGTTTTAGTCCACATTTAAGGAAGCATAAAAAAACTGTAGCGATAGAAAAGCGAATCTGTTCGTCTCATAAAATGAAATTTCTTTTCCAAGTGCTGAAGATGTTAAGTTAGTCATGAAGGATTTTGAATGTTTTCTAAAAATAAAATTAGATTTTTTACGAATTTAACAAGAAAAATCTTGTAAATGAAAATTCGGTGTTAAAAACTTTTTCAATCATGAATTTTTAAGGCCTAAGTTTTTATTTCATATTTTCATGCACCATTAATGTTCCCAAAACCCCATTCTGGCAAATTTCCCATAAATGCTATGTCTAGTGCCCGACAAATATTCCCTAAACAATTGTCTGCATCATCAAATGTCCACAACAAACACCTGCAAAAATAATTATGACAGGAACGCCTCAACACATTTTTAAAGAGGAGAAATGGGACATTTCCATGAGAAATGTGATTTATTTCATATGCGATAGCTCAAAAGAGCACCACTCAGCAGATTCGTTCTTAAGTGGAGAATAGAAAAATTATTCGTGTAAAGACTTATGGGCGACAGCACGTGAGGATGAATACTTTTTTTTGCGTTTAAAATGAAGTCTCAAATGGAAAATTTTCCATAATTTAAATAAAAGAAACATGTACGATGGGAAACTAAGCATATGATGAGTTGATAAAACTGAAAAATTATAAAGTCTAATCATTCAACCTGCTCAGCCCACCTTTAGTCAACAAGTCAAAGCACATATACATAAAATCGGATTGCTTAAGGTGAAAATTCGCTAAAATGAAACTCGGCATTGGAGGCGACATTTAATAAAGGAAGGAGAAATGAGTGTCTCATGAGAATCATAATACATATACAGACAGACACACATCATGCATCTTTAATGCCTAAATCATCTAAACATTTACAGCATCGCTTATTCTTCATTCAAGCCTGCCTGCTTTCACTTCTTATTTTAATCTTTGTAATCAGCACAAAATCAGAAAGAAATTATTCACG